AACATAGATAATGGTAGAATTTTCCATTACAGAGAAGAACTGCCAGTGCTAAAATTAACATGCATCGAACAACAGTAGCATGTTGAGGGCCTGCAGAGTAGAGGGGGAGAGACGTAGTACAGGCAAAATAGGTTAAATCTTGTTTGAAAAAAGTTCAGAAAACATAGGTCTTCAAAACTTAAAAGAAAAATGTACTAGACCTCTTTAACCTAATTCATTTTTCTTGTTTTTCTGGCACAATGCCCAGATTTTTTTCCCTCGTCATTTTATAAAAAAAAAAAAATGTATCACTTTTGAAATACTGATTTAATTTATGTTCAAGGACTATTCGATGGGAGTTTGGGGAGGCAATGCTGTTCTGAGCAATTCAGGCCTAAATGAAGATTGGGTGTCTTCTGCCGAGAAAGTCTCCACCTGGAAACAAGTACGTCTCTGTTGTATTGTTGGCAGGAATATTCAGTTTATAAAAATGTTCTTCTCGCCCTCTGCCCTTGGTTATTTTTATTTAATGAAGATTACATTAATTGTTTGAAATTCAGTTCCTGCATTAGAAATGGGGGAACCATAGTTATTTTTTTTAAAAAAGAAGAATAAAACAATCATATGTTGAGTAGATCATTCTCTGGGAATTTTAAAAGAGAAAAGGGTATAAAAGCAAAGGATGGAGTTGATGGGGAGAAAGGAACAGAATGTGTTCAACAACCAGTTTATCTTTGCTCAGAGAAACAGAAGCTTAAGTTGGTCACCATTAATATTCCAGGAGAAGTCTTGCTATGGCTTCAGAGCTGTGTTATCATTTCAGTCTCCCCCTGGGTTAGATATTTAGATTTGTTAGAGCAATCTTGATTTTAGTTTTTAAGCATTTATTTCTGTAAATATCAGCCTCTATAAAATTAAAATTAATTTTAATTTCAAAATTAAACTTTATTTAATTAAATAGTTAATTTAATTTTAAAATTAGGCAACTCTAATTTCAACCATATTCTTCCAAAAGAAAATAATAGTAATAATAAATAATAGAGGCTATTTTCCCCTCTTATGACAAGACTGTGATGTAGATTTAATTCTTGGACTCCAAGAAAAATTTCAGATAATAGAAGTCCTTCACTTCCTAACCTTTGATTGGCTGTTGCCCCAACCCAGTCACTACCAGACTTCAGATCTAGGGAGTAAGTTTGGAGGCTGAGGAAATGTAGAAAGAACAGACTAGCTCCATGAAGCAGGGTGGGCAGAAAGGAGAAGTGACAGAAATTAGGGAGTGGGCAGATGGTAGAAGAGGTGACAAACAGTGGGTTATTGCATATTCCCCTTGCCCAAAGTTTTCTCTTCATCCTCGCAGAGGCCTCTCTCCAGTCAAGCAGTCCACACTCTCTCTTCTGGTCAGAATTCTGAAAGAGCCACCACGTTCATCTGAAGCCTTTTCTTTGAGCAGTTAAAGGTTCCGAGACCCAAATAACTTGTCATTTGGAACAGTTTTTAAAAAATAGCCACTCAGGGGCCGGCCCCGTGGCTGAATGGTTAGGTTCGTGTGCTCTGCTTTGGGGGCCCAGGGTTTCATGGGTTCGGATCCTGGTCACTGACATGGCACTGCTCATCAGGCCATGCTGAGGCGGCATCCCATATGCCACAACTAGAAGGACCCACAACTAAAAACAATATACAACTATGTACTGGGGGGCTTTGGAGAGAAAAAGGAAAAATATTTTTTAAAAAAAGTCACTCATTTTAATCGGGGGAAAAAAAAAGAGCAGGTGAATTATTTGTCATCGTGTAGGACCATAATCCCCACCTCACAAAGCATACACATATAAAGCAAAAAATAGCAAACACTCCAATTATCTAAATAACCTTTTAGCATTTCACAATTTTTCACTTTCAACTGGTTACACTGATATATAATCCAACATTTTGACAGCTCCTTTCTGTGCTTGGAAAGGAAACCCTATTTTTTGTGTCACAGCCTTTATTAATTATAAAATGAAACAATCAGGAAATCAGCAGCACCTTGAGGGCTGAGCCTTAATAGGTCTAGGCATTAATTTTTTTTTTAAGATTATTTTAACTCTGCTGAATTAAAGTTCTGAATAGGGGACAAGAAAGTGAAAAGAACAATTTTTGAGCCCCTAGTATTTATGATTTTTACAAGTGTTATTTCAGTTAGTCTCGTGAACCTCTCACAGTAATAGCTATCATTATTCAGTTTATACTATGTATCAGGTGCTATGTTAGGGGATTTGCATTTCTTCTCTCATTTAATCTTCACAGTAACTTTATAAGGTAAATATTATTCTTATATTAAAAATGAGAAAAAGTTAAACCATTTGTCCAAGATTTCCGGACTTGGAAAATTGTAGAGTGAGGAATAAAATTTAGATTTCACTAATTGCCATATCCTTTCTAGTTGTTACCTTTTTTCAGAATAATTTTTTTCAAATTCAAAAACGTTTTTGCTGTAGTGACTGAGAATGCACATCGAGAGGGGGTTCTGGGATTCCTGTAGTGTTCTGTTCCGAGATGTGGGTGCTGGTTACATGGAAGGGGTCAGTTCTTGAAAGTTCATTGAGATATTCACTTACCACTTCTGAGCTTTTCTATATATGTGTTACATGCAATAAAATGTTTACTTAAAAAAAAGTAATTCATGCTGAATACAGAAAATGTGACAGACAGACGAAGCACAAAGGCAAAAAACCCCCACAAAAACTCACCAGTAAGCTCGCTACTCAAAAACTAACAGTTTCAGAAGCTGATTCAGTATAGGAAGAAATGATGGGATTCATGGTCCTTATTCTCTTAAAGCAACTTAGGGCAAAAGAACTCTAAGGGAAACTCTTGAAAGTAACATTTTTTGTTAAATTACAAAAGAAATATTACCACATATGGAATTTTTTTTAAAAAGAGAAAAGTAAATTTCTTCAGAATTCCACCTTAATATAATCACTTAATATTTTGGTATATTGAGTGAAGGTGTCATGACGTTATAGATCATAAATGCTATTTTGTGTGTAAATAAGTTGAAAAGCAAAAAGGTATTATGAATAATAAAGTAGAACTATGAATTAAAGCAGTACTGTTGTGTTTATGTGTGATAGTCCAAGTTATCTATAAATTTAATTGTTTTATAGTCTGTTATGAATTGATTTTAAAGGAACTGTCAGACATGTCATCTATGTGAGAAAAAAAACAGCTCTTAACAGTCAAAACTTGTAAGATTACTTAAATCTTTCAGATGAAAAAACATGCCCTTGTTTCGGTATTGTCCCCTTGGTACTCTGGTAAGCCTAAAAAGTAAGAGAGACAGCGATGTGTTAATGGGAAGATCAATGAACCAGCAGTCAGGAATTCTGGTTTCTAATCTTGGCTGTGCCACTCCTCAAAGCTTCATTGTGGACAAGTTCAAACTTCTTTGGACTTCAGTTTCTTGAGCTGTAGGATGAGGGTTGGGCAGTATCTCAAAGGACACTTACAGCCAAAACAATTTATGACACAGGGAATTTGGCCAGGCCTGGATCAACCTTTTATTATAATAAAAAATGAACTCATAAAGCAGAAACATTCAGTAACTGGGAGAAGAGAGCTTGCCATCTTTATTTGCAACCAGAGCAGATACAACGTGTTTCCTGTCCTTTCCACAAGTAGCCATGGGAAGGGAGGTAGGCAGAGGACAGGGACAGGATGTCCTTCCTTTACATGTCACTCACCAGCCTATATCTTTAAATTTTTTCGGGGCCATCAGGTCTGATATCCCACAAAACAAAAGGATTACAAATAACTTGTTCTCGTGACAAAATAATTACTTAAATTAGTTTTCATTTGTCAAATTTTTTTCAGGTACCTTCCTTTCATTATCGTTGTAGTGTGAATTTATAGTGACGGGATTTCAGGGACTTCGGAGACGGATAACATTTACGGGGAGACGTTTGAAAGGTTTTGGTGTGCCTCTGTAAGCTAATGCTGTTGCCAGTTTGCAGGTGAACCGTGGAAGAAACTGGGAACCGCACAAGTGAAAAGCGAGAAGCGCCTGGTTACCCAAGATAGTTCTAGGGAGCAGAAAGGGACTTTGTTCTTTTAGGTAGTGTAGCTTTAAGGGACTGTGAGAATTGATTATACGCTTGCCAATCTCCCTTTGATGGCTGGAACTGTGTCATTTATCTTTATATCCCCAGCGACAGATATAACCGACAATCAAATATTTGTTTAATTGAATTGAGTAAAAACTGCACGGGAATAAGGTCAGAAAAAAGAGACTGAAATAAGAGAGCCTTGGGTATCTGAAACTTTTACAGGATTTACTGCAAGATTAACTACAAAGGGAAAGGGATTTGAGCGGAGCACTATTTCAGATAAGGCGTCAGCAAACCAGAATTTGGAAGAAGCTAAACGCTGCCAGTCTAGGAGAGAGGTAATCAGAGTTCCTTATAAGTGAAAACTGATCAGGCAACAAGTTTGAACCACCGAGTGAAAAAGAAAGGCAGGAGAGATAGCGATACTCAGATTGGCAGAACTGAGGAGTGTCTAGGATCAGAGAAACACCGAAGTCGGAGCCCAAGGGAGGGCTGAGCCCAGCGGGCTGGAGAGAGCCCCAGTCCAGGGGCCGGAGCGGAGAAGCTCGCTTTGAGCTCGTTTCTGAACAGAACTACCAGGAAGCCCTAAAAGATGTGCAGCTCGGGCTGGTATTTTGGCGTGATAACTTCCGTGTGTGTGCGTGTGTGTGCAACAAAGCGCGCCGCCCTAGGACTTCCGCGTGGGAGGGCGATTGGAGCACAGCCCGCCCGCGCCCGTCCCCACCGTGAGGAAACCCGCGCTCCCCGCCCAGGCCGGCCTCCACCCGGCGGGCCGGGGCGGGCTGGGGGCGGGGCCGCGCTGGAGCTATCGCAGCCCCACAGGCCGCCTCCGCCGCAGAGCCCGCCCCACGCCCCGAGACTACATTTCCCAGCAAGCCCCGGGCCGCCCGCGCGCCGCAGTTGACCCATTTCCCGGCCCGTCCCGGGCTCGGCCGGCCCCCGCGCCTAGGCTGCTCCCTGCTGACTGGGGTGTGGGCGGGGAGCGGCGGAGGGAGGAGGAGGCGCTGCTGGCCGCCGCCGTTGCCGCCGCTGCTGGCTGCCTGGGCAGCTCCCCGGGTTTCTGCGGCCGCCATGGATGAGCAGGCGGGTCCTGGCGTGTTCTTCAGCAACAACCACCCGGGCGCCGGCGGTGCCAAGGGTCTCGGGCCTCTGGCGGAGGCTGCCGCGGCCGGCGACGGGGCGGCTGCAGCGGGGGCGGCCCGAGCCCAGTACAGCCTCCCGGGGATCCTGCACTTCCTGCAGCACGAGTGGGCCCGCTTCGAGGTGGAGAGAGCCCAGTGGGAGGTGGAGCGGGCGGAGCTGCAGGTAAAGACCCTCCCGGCCGGGCCCTCTTCATCCCGCCTCTTCGCTCCCTTCCGCCCCGCCCCAGACCCTTCCCCCTCCCCCCCCCAGCCCTCGCTGCTTCCCTCCCGGCTTGCTCCCGCCCATCCCACCCAGAACCTCGTCCCCTTCCCCCTTCACCTTTGCCTTTCGCTGACCCCACTTCCTCGACCCGGGTTCTCACTCCCGCCCGTGCTGCGTTGTTTACCCTCCCCGCTCCTTTTCGTCTACACCTTCCCACTCTTAACTCTCAGTCTCATTTCAGCTCTCTTGCCATCCCACGTTTTAGGTCTTCTCTTTCAGTTTACTAATTGGGCTGACAGTTTTGAGAGAAGCCGAGCAGATCATGCACTGTCCTAGTGAGTCCTGTCTTAGGTCTAGAGACGTACCCCGCAAAAGGTATTGGCAGTGGACTCCTCTCTCTGAAAGGAAGGCGATCAAAGAAGACAACAGAAGTTGTGTTCGTGAGGCCTTGACTTCAGGCAAGAAGCTGATGTTGGGCGAAAGTGTTACTAGGAATATCAGCACCCTTTTTATATATGTAAATGTTTCTTCCCTTCCCTCTCCCCCTCCCGCATTTCTTTTAGGTATTTCAGATTCATGGATTTTTGAATGAGGGACCTAGATGAGCACAGTCAGATGATGGTTCAGAGATGGTTTCCTGTTGTCAGAAACTAGAACTTCCCAAGGGTTAATTTTGTGTGCATTGTTTTGTGAGATTGACTTGTACTTTGAAAGGAGCTAAAAAGAGCTTTAAAGTTGGTTACATTTCCCTGCATAATCTACAAGATAAAGTATATCCAGGGAGGAGCTATTGTGGGCTCTTAGGAGAATCAAAGTGAGGCTGATACTTTACAGGCCATTCTGAATTGGTAAGTAGGTTTCAGTGGCTGGTCTTGAAACTTCCAAGGCAGACACCAATTTCACAGGGAATTTAAAGAACTGAGTGGCATTCCTTTTCTGTTTTACTGGCTAATCCTGTGTGTTTAGGAAATCTCAATAAGGTTTTGGTTGGTGAAACACTTGGGAGTTAAAATGCTACCCAATGTATCGCTTTTTTTGGTAACATGTATTTTCTTGGGCACTTAAAAAGAAAAGGAGAAATCTGTTAAATAAAATCATGTGCTGGAACAGGCTGCTTTGGTGTGGTGGAAGGGCCTGTGGAAAGAGCAAGCAGACAGGGTTATGCTACTGGCTGTGTTTGGCTGCTAGCTCTGTGACCTTGAGGAAATTCTTTAACCTCTCTGAACTTCAGTTTTATTTATTTATTCAGCACATCTGTTGAGTGCCAGCTGTGTGCCTCTAGGCCCTGGGATTAACAAAGTTGACAGAACCTCTGCCCTCATAGAGTTTATGTTTTAGTCGGAAGGCAAACCATCAGCAAATGTACCTATGTAATATACTGACCCATAGTGGCAACTGCTATGAGAAAAATAAATCAGGGTACGGGAATAGAGTGTGATAGGGGCAGCTATTTTAGATGTGGTGGTCAGGAAAAACCTGTGGGAGGAGTTGAATGAAGCTGGGGGAGTGACCCATAGTTTCTAAGATTCCTTCTGATTCTTTGTTCTACATTATATGTTTATATTCTTTGGCAACTTTTTCATCCCTATTATTATGTTACTTTAGTATTTAATCTGTTGATATTTGTAATTTTTCTCATAAAGAATCTGACCATGTCTGTATAGTAACCAGCAGACCCAAATGTTTCATTTAAATTTATTAGTAATTCACCTTTTTAATAATGCATTCCATAAATGAATTTCTAGATTTCCAAATTTCAAGGAAGTGTTAAAGACAGGCTTTAACTTTAACATTGTACACTTATGGAGAATGATTTTTGTATGTAGCTGCTTAAATTTTAATTTCTCTTCCAGTTTAGGGGATGTAAGATGCCACACTACTTTGGTCAAAAACAAGCAAGAAAACAATTCTTACCTTCCTACCTGTGGAAGTTTGGGAATTTCCAGCTCATCTCACCCCTGCCCACTCCCATGTTTAAACTTTTCAGTTTACCTGTAACTGTTATCACTCTTCAGTTTTTTATTTATACACACACAGAGCCACATGTCACTGACAGAGACACATTCTGAGAAGTGTGCCATCAGGTAATTCAGTCGTGTGAACATCATGGAGGTACTTACACAAACCTGGATGGTGTAGCCTACTATACACCTAGGCTATATGGTACTAATCTTATAGGACCACTGTCATATATGTGGTCCATCGTTGACAGAAACATCGTTATGGGATACTTGACTGTGTGTATACACAAACACACCCACCCACTCACCCCCCCCTTCTTTGGTTACTTTTGGCAAGTGTTAAACTTCAGGTAGGCTTCCCATTGGTGCTCATCGTGTTAAGGGCACTACATTTTTACAGTATTTTCTGGTTTGTACTCAGATTAAGCATCTATGGAGAAACTTAAAAAATGTATCATTTCCAAACAGAACAATTATTATGTATTTTGGGGGGAGAGAGTTTGCAGGAATCTCCGGTCTTTGAGTCCCTTATTAGCATAATTGAAAATATACTTTTAAAATCATTTCTTTACATCAGCATCATTAAATTTTAACATATCCCATCATTTTTCTTTTCCATTGGAATTTTTATAAAAAACAATAGGAAGTAAGAGTTGAATGAATGATGATGAAATTTGGATCAGTTGGTGTCTTCCTTTTACTGTTTAAATCCGTTCTCAAGTCATTAACACCAAAGTCAACAAAAATTCCTTTAAGATTAACTCTAATTTGTCTCTTCAGGAACCTGTTGGTCCTGCTCTTTCAAGTTGCCAGGGCAGAGTTGTGAAAGACAATCCAAGCTCTCATCTACCTGACCTGCCATTACCACTTCCTCCCTCCTTCAGATCTTGGGAATAAGGACCTGGCCACATTGTGCCAAAAACTTAGTCATTTTTTCCTTCTTGCCCATCTTGGTTAACATAAGACTCTTTTTACTTCTAGTGATCTCCCTCTGCCTCACCACCACCATTCAGGTGAGAATAGGTAGTTCTTGGGCAAGTGAAAAGAATGGTCAAGGTTATTACTGAGCTTTATATTTATGGAAGGAATTGGAGACAGAATACTAGTCATAACATTTGAGAGAAGTTTGTGTATGTGAAACCTTGGGCTAGATGACCTCAAAGAAACATCCAGTCTAGTTGGAATGATAGAACAAACAGAATGCAGAGGAATCAGGGTGTTTATCTTTGAGGGGTTTAAATTTTCTTAGACTAGCATACTAGAAAAGGGCTAGTAGTGAATGGGGAGAATAGCAGGAAGAAACAACTTTATGAGGTAATAAGAACCTGGGGCTCACTATTTGAAAATTACTGACTTATGGGAAAAGAAGCATGTAAATAAAAGGTAAAAATTCTTGTCCCTAGATTTTGGGAGGGGGAGGGTGTGTATGTGTGTGTGTGTGTGTGTAGTAGAGGACGCTCCGCTATTTACCTGGAAATGCCAGAATTGTGTGAAAGAGGTGATGTGATGGAGTAGCTCAGGGCATGTTGTGTGGAGGCTGTATACTGGAGATTTATGAATCTAGATTTTGGCATTATTGATCCATGTTTTCATTCAACAATGATACTCAAACACCTACTTCATGTCAGGTCCTGTTCTAGGCACTGGAGAAACAGTGATTGAAACAGATTGTGTCTTCATGAAGGTTAAGTTGTGGAGGAAGACAGACAGTAACAAATAAATACATACATAAAATGGTAGATGGTAATAAGTACCCTGATAAAGTGGGGTAAGTGGAATTTGGAGTGCTTGAGAGGGTGGAGTGGGAAAGAAAGTTTCAACTGATAAGATGCCATTTGAGCAAAGACCTGAAAAGGTGAAATCTGAAGCAGAAGTGTTCTAGGCAGAGGGAACAGTAGGGGAATGAAGCATCCTTGGGAACGTTTGAGAGATAATGAGGCTAGTGTGGTTGGAGTAGAGGAGAATGGAGGAAATGTCAGAGGTACTGGGTCTTGCGCATTGTAAGGACTTTAGATTTTACCTCAGCAGGGTAGGCAGCTATTGAAGTGCTTTGAGCAAAGGAGTGACACCATCTTTAAAAGGAATCCTTTGCAAGGATTCAGAATAGACCTGGAGGGAAGACAAGGGTAGAAGAATGAGGGAGTCTGATTGGGAGGCTGTCTTAATAATCCAGGCTGGAGATGAACTAGGTGGTAGTGATGAGATGAGTGAATGTGTGTTTTGATACTATTCAAAATATAATGGATTCTGAATACGTTTTTGAAGGTAGAACCAGCAAAATGTGCTGAAGGATAGGATGTGAGGCTTGAGGAAAAGGGGAGTCAAGTATGACAAAATTATTTTGACTGAGCGGCTCCGTAGGATTGTTGAGAAGATTTACTGAGCATTTAAATGGGCACGGTAAGCACTTAAGTGGCAGTGTATTTTTTTGTTATTATTATGACTGTTATTTACAATTACAGTGGAAAGCAACAGGGCATAAACCTGTATTTAAATCTTTGCTCTAAGACTTACTAGTATTTTATTTTATGCCAAAAATACACGTTTGCCGTAATTCTGACCTCTCAGAACCTTGGTTTCTTCATGTGTAAGGTGAGGGTAATAAACTATTTTGTGTGAATTAAGTGAGATACTTTAAAGTACCTAGCAGAGGCCTGGTACATAACACAAAGTAAGTGCTGAATAAATAAATGGTGGCAAGTGCATGATGTTAAATTTGTACTCTTTATTTATCTCCTTGTCCCCAGAGAAAAGCGTAATCTTCAGTCATGAACTCTTCTAAGGCTAGAGCATGTAAGTGCCATTCTGTCACCATGCAGTCTAATATTCTGGGTCTGATGGTGGCACTAAGGAGTGAATTATTGCCTTTTGTGTCAGCCTCAAAACATTGATTATATGCTTCAAATATATTGCTTTCCTTAATAACACATTGTGTGTCTGTTATCTTGGAATTTGTATCTTAGAAAAGTATAAGTTTTTCTGAATGTGTTTATCTTAACC